TAGGAGAATTTCGAGCGAATGTTCTGATCGGTGCGCATACGTATTCGATACTTATTCGAGTCGCGTCCAATATCGTCATGCCATACGATTTGATTATTGGCGCGGATTTTATAGATACCGTAGAAATTAATATTAAAAAAGGCGTAATGTCGATTAGTCCTATCTGCGAATTAACGGCCGACGAGTCACGACCTGAAATATTTACGATCGATGTTGACGGCCCGGACACAGAAATAGACGTCGGTGTGTTTACTAAAGCCGAACACAAGCGTATTGTCGCGGGCTTGGTAAATAATTATAAGCCGCTTCGAGCACAAGATACAGATGTTAAAATGACAATTATTTTGAAAAATGACGAACCTGTTTACCAAAAGGCCAGACGACTTTCACAATATGAAAGAAATATTGTAAATATTCAAATCGATGAGTGGAGGAGAGAGGGTATAATACGAGAATCTGTCTCTGATTTTGCCAGCCCTGTCGTACTTGTAAAGAAAAAAAATGGTTCGCATAGATTATGCATAGATTATAGAATGCTAAATAAAAAAATAATTAAAGGCAGATATCCTCTTCCCCTCATCAAAGACCAATTAGATCAATTACAGGACGCGAGAGTTTTTAGTACAATTCGATTTAAAGAACGGGTTTTTCCACGTGCGAGTGGCCGAGTGAAGCGTTAAATATACATCTTTTATTGTGCCGGACGGACAATACGAATTTCTAAGAGTCCCCTTTGGTTTATGTAATTCTCCTTCCGTCTTTCAAAGATTTATTAACGTGATTTTTAGGGATCTAATAAAACGAAAAATTGTATTAATATATATGGACGACTTAATTGTACTTTCAAATAACGACGACGACGGATTAAAAAATCTGAAGATTGTGTTAGATACCGCAAGTCAGGCCGGTTTGAAAATAAATTGGAGAAAATGTTGTTTTTTGCGTCGCAAGGTGGAGTTCCTCGGACACGTCGTTGAGGAAGGTACGATACGGCCGTCGGAAGAGAAAATTAAAGCGGTTTTATGTTTTCCGGAGCCCGCGAACATGCGACAGGTGCAGTCTTTTCTGGGCCTGAGCGGTTATTTCCGTAAATTTATTTCGGGTTACAGTATGATCGCGCGTCCGCTGTCAAACCTGTTAAAAATGGAGGCGAGGTTTCAATTCGGTGCAGCTGAGAGAAATGCTTTTGAGCGGTTAAAGATCATGCTGAGCGAGAGGCCAGTATTGACTTTGTTTCGGGTAGGCGCAGAAACCGAATTGCATACCGACGCATCCATGTACGGTTTCGGGGCGATACTCTTGCAAAGAGACAGCGAAGACCAATTATTGCACCCAGTATACTACGTGAGTGGCAAGACTACCCCGGCGGAAGAAAAATATCCGAGCTACGAACTTGAGGTCTTGGCAATTGTTAAAGCGCTAAAGCGATTTCGCACGTACCTATTAGGTATAAAATTTAAAATAATTACCGATTGTCGAGCGTTCGCACAGACAATGTCAAAGCGAGACCTTTGCGTGCGGGTAGCCAGATGGGCATTAGCATTAGAAGAATTTCAGTACGAGATAGAGCATAGGCCCGGCAAAAGCATGACGCATGTTGATGCTCTTAGCCGTAATCCACTGCCGATGTGTTTGATAGCGAGCGAGTGCGAGGGAGGAATGCTTGCGCGATTAAAGAAAGCCCAGAGTGCGGACAGCGATCTAAGAGAAATATTTGAAGCGATTGAACGAGGTTGTTCGGAGGGTTATTTGATTTGAGGTGGAGTATTGTACAGGGAAAATAATGGCGACCTTAGATTAGTCGTTCCTAAGGCCATGCAGTTGCAGATGATCCAGAAGATGCACGAGCAGGGACACCTTGGAATCGCAAAAACAGAGGCACTGGTGAGGAGGGACTATTGGATCTCTAAATTGCGTCCTAAGGTCGAGGGTGTTCTGCGAAACTGTATCCCGTGCATCCTGGCGGAGCGAAAACAAGGAAAGGCTGAATGCTTTTTAAGCCCGATTAGCAAGGGAGATGCGCCACTGGATACTTCTCATATTGATCACGAAAGTTCCTTGCAATCAACAAAGAAAAGTTACGCCCATATTTTTGTTGTGGTGGATGCATTTTCAAAATTCACTTGGTTATACGCAACCAGATCGACGGGCACAGCAGAAGCAATCGAGCGACTACGAAGACAGGCACATATATTCGGTAATCCAAGAAGGATTATATCAGATCGAGGTACAGCCTTTACATCGAAGGAATTTGAAGAATACTGTCAATCAGAAAGTATCGAACATCAACTGATAACCACGGGAGTGCCCCGAGCGAACGGCCAGGTTGAGCGTATAAACCGCACGCTCATACCTTTGTTAACGAAGCTGTCGGCCCCTAAGCCGAGCGAGTGGTACAAACAATTGAACGCGGTACAAATGTGTATGAACGCCACGATACAGAGGAGCATCGGGATGACGCCTTTTCGAGTGCTGCTGGGCGTTAATCCACATATTAAGGAGAACCTTGACATCAGAGCGCTACTTGAAGAAGAAATCGTCGCATCCTTCGATGATGATCGAAAAAAGCTGCGAGCGGAGGCTAAAAGAAATATCGAGAAGATCCAAAAAGAAAATAAAAGAACCTACGATAGGAAAAGGAGGGAACCCCTGAGTTATCATGAAGGAGACCTTGTCGCGATTAAGCGCACGCAGAGAGGTCCTCATCTCAAACTAGCACATAAATATCTTGGGCCGTATGAGATAATAAGAGTCTTGCGTAACCACCGATATCTCGTACGCAAGGTAGGCGAAAACGAGGGTCCAATCCAGACATCGTCAGCAGCCGATTACATGAAGCTTTGGATGCGGGACGACGATTACGAGGAAATAGAGGAAAATTAAAAAAAAAAAAAAAAAAAACGACAAACGGTCGAGGCGACCTTTATTTCAGAATGGCCGAGTGTAGGATGTCAAATTAGGCGATCAATCATTGCGCATGCGGCATCGATTGGTCAATGATTAGCGCGATGAGCAAGCAAAAAATTATCGTTCGGGGAGGGACGCGAGCGCGAGGTGCGTGGGGGAGAGTCGCTTGTGTGATACTGAAGAGAAAGAAACGAAACAACAAGCGAGCGCGAGAGTTCTGCAAACGCAGAGTTTTATATTACTATATTTCGATTTCTTTTGGTTTTACGTGTATATTCTTATATTTTATTAAAGATCGAACAATTTTCTAATTTAACCATTCTCGTCATTGCCTAAACCTAAATTAGTATAACATCCTACAATATCATCGCGTAGATTTACAGTCAGTCAAGTAAGAGCGTGGTCGGGTAAATTTATGGAAAAACTTATTAAATGGTATTTTTATATTTATATATATATTGTACTGAATATAAACAATGATGCAATTATATTAATAATGTGTCCAGTCACCATCGGCGTCGATAATTGCCTGGCATCTCCGAGGCATGCTTTCGACTAATTTAATTGCATATTCTAGTGGCAACAATCTCCAGATACGACGAATTTCGCAAGATAACTGCTTGGAAGTGTATGTACGTTTACTACGAAGCTTATGCTTAATATATGCCCACACATATAGAACATTCATCGGTAAAAATTACATTATCAAAATCTCTATCGATATTCTCATGCGCCCAAGCGAGTCGATTCGTAACATGTTTTTCAGTCAACAAAGGCTTCTTCATTGTGGGGCGAAATTTCAGGTTATGAGCACGGAGATGAGTTCGGATAGTTTCGTGCGATATATCTAAACCTTTCGACTTTAATTTTGCCTGTCCTTGTCGCAGTGTTAAAGAAGGATTTCGCAAAAACAGATTCACTATTTTTTTTTCGTCTTTTTTGTCCACTTTGCCTATTGAGCCACGTTCTGGTAAATCATCGACATTTTTTGCCACTTTATATCGCTGTATCCACTTCTGTACAAATGTTTTCGACTTTCTCATGTATTTAGCAGCCGCTGATTGTGACATTTTTGGACCTTTCGGATGGGTACACAGGAACACAGCCTCGTAGCGCGACGCGTACTTAGCACTCATGACGCTTATCGTGTTTCTCTTTCAAAGAATCAAAGACAACTGAATATTTTTTGACAATGCATCAAGGGCAAAACTTCCCTTTATAGTCTCACGAAGGATTTAGAGCGAAATCTTTTATTACCTGTCAATAAAATCGACCACGCTCTTACTTGACTGACTGTAAGGAGTATTTACTCGGGAAACCGCGTTTAAACGCCAACGAGTCTGTTGTTTTAATTATAAGAATTCCCGGTTTTTCGATAAAGCTGTGTCCTACCAGTACGTCATACCTGATTATATTGTTATTTACGATATAAACGTTAACCAATTCAGCAATACCGCAAAGTCAGATATTATATGTATTATTATTTTCGAAAAAAATTTACTTATTTCGTGATATTTGTCAAATAAATCATTATAAAGTAAACAGAATGGAAAGTTTTTAAATAAACAAATATTGCTTATCACATTATACATTTGGTTAAGAAAAAAATTCATATTTACATCTGTGAAGCTTCGACTTATTAGTTTTATAATAGATTTTTTTTTAAAGCCGTTAGAGATTAGTTAAACTATCTTTACATATTTACATTTTCTCTAAATAATTGAAGAAGTTATTTAATATTAATAAATTTAATATTTAAACAGATCATTTAAAATTATATATTATATTACATAATATTATAATCCTGTTTTATTTTTCTTGTATTCCCATCTGTTAAGCAAATACAATAATAAATAAATATATATGTATATTCCGAACAATATTAGTAAAATTATTAAATTATTTTCTTTATTTATACGATTTTTATACTTAATATAATATAGTTAACTTTATTTATTATAATAGAATGAAAATATGTATAATCAAGTATATTTAATATATCAAATAAAATATATTTAGCTAAACAAGTAAATTGTTATTATTGCTTTCTTAAATTTTTCAATTATTTATTTAATAATTAGAAATGTTTCTACCTGATAGAGTGCAGCCAAATGATTACTCGTCGCAACCAAAATGGCTGATTGACACCAGGATGATCTAAATCATGTGTTACAGCCGCTATCAAGGAAGCCATAATTTCTAAATTGGTTAGATGTGGTTTAATCTGTAAAATTATAACTTTCAATCACATTCTATTTAACTGAAGAATTAAATTATAAAATGTCAAAATAATTGAAAATCTGCTTATTTTTTTGCGAATCTGCAAATATAAATATGTAATTACCTTTTCTTCTTGAAGAAAACAATGCATTGCTTGAGTGACGTCTGTGGCATGTATACTGTTGTGGTAAGGATTTGTACTGTGATAACCCTCCTCGATAAAAGCTTCAATTAAATAATTGCATAAATTATTATTTTAACATAATATTAAAATCAATACATTTTTAATATACTTTATTTATTTTTATTTTATTTTTATTCTATCTTTTTCATATTTTTTAAAATTAAGATCAACTCTTAAAGCATTTCAAGTTGAATAGTTAAAAGTTTATTATTATCGCTTATTTGCTATGATGATTCTCATCAAATTCTCTCGCTTTGTGAGTCACTGCCATTATCAATATTTTAATAATTTAAAGAGAATTTAGCAGTGTAAGTGATTTTATTCGTTTAATATATTTGTGTGTGTGTGTGTGAAGAACAAAGAAGATTATAATACATACTTCTCAAATATACAATATGTTGAATAATTATAATCATATAAATAAGAATCATGATTATAATCTCATTAAAAAATTATTTATTAGAAATTTACTTTTCTAAATAACAGTACAATTTAGGAAACTTATAAGAGAACTTTATTAGAAAAATTATTTTTTGTTTAATTTTAATTTTCTAATTTTTAAAACTATTTAAAAGTAACTATTTTATTTTATACTAAAAATATAATTTAACAATAATTTCACAAACATTGATTTAAATTTTAAACATTGATTAAAATACTAGATTTTAATTAATATGTTCGTATATAAATAAATGTGCAATATTGTTTATAAATAATAATAATTTTATATTTACATTTATATTTAAATTATTCAGTGAAAAAAGTGATTTTAAAATGCATGTTTAAAATACATGTAATTTATGTTTTAAGAAAAAAACATGAAAAAAATCAAAATTATAAAAAAAGTTATCTAGGTATTACTGTACGTACATGTAATGTATAATTTTTATTAAAATTATAATATATAATATAATATATTATTATAGAGTTGCAACGAATATATAACTATTTGGTATTCTGCCTATTTGGCAATATTTCTACTATTCGGTCGCGCGAACACTGAATATTAGTCTACCATTCGGTTTTAAATATAAAACTGGAAGGAAATAATAGTTTATAATGTTGCCATCATAGCCGCAAATGCAGAGTTTTAATATGCTAGATTATCTAATTTATTTTTATTGATATATCTAATAAAATTAAATAAAACACATTTATTGTTACATAAAATGTATTTAATACACATTAATAATTTTAAAATAAATCATTCATTATAGTTAAAATTAATCCTAATTACATTTATCATAATTAAAATTAAGACTCCTTGATTCTTGCGGCGACTATATTGGATTATGACGTCAGAAGTGAGAAAATACACGCTGAAAATTTTTGCGTACCATTTTTAGATAAAAAGATATTTCAGTGAAACAACACTATAAAATTCTTTGGCACACTTGTAAAATTGTCCGAAAACTATTCTTTTTCCTTGAACAGTCAATCAACAGCCGTAAAATAATTGAAACATCAAACTTCGTCATGCGAAATGACTGCGTATGTGGTAGAACCAGACGGATTGAACCTCATATTTTAGTCATTTTACAACTGTTGATTGAGTGTTATAAAGGGAAAAGGTTAATTTTCGAATAATTTTATAAGTGTGCAAAAAAATTTTGTAATGTTGTTTCGTTAAAATATCTTTTTATCTAAACAAAAAATGGCACGCAAAAATTTTCAGCATGTATTTTCTTGCTTCTAATGTCACGATTTGGACATAGTCGAGGAGGATCACGGAGCCTTAAGAAACGGTAAGTTGTAATGCGAGAAAATAAGTTTTTTTTTGTATTGGAAGGAAGCAATCTATTTCTTTTCTCTTCGTATTGTGAGCTAGAGTTTCGTGGCAGATTATTGCAAATGGAATAACAAGATAAATAATAATATAAGACATTTTAATGATACACGTAATATCTTCCTTACAAACGTATGTATGAGAACAAAAGAATTAATCATAAAATATTAGATTGTCACCATGACGAATTTCAAACATATGCTATAAGACTACAATTTCAGGTGTTAGAATATATACTATACTGTGAAGTCAATCGCGTATTGTCCAATATTATAAATCTTAACATGTTCATATATTACAAGTCCATATATTACCTATTTCTGAGAAAAATTTCGCGTTTTACCTGTAATATTCTCTGAATATTCAGTTATTCGGCATATGATCTTGCATAATATTCGGCATTCGGTCGAATTATACTATTCGTTGCATCTCTCTAATATAAAATAATATATATATTGTGTTTTAGGGTTTAGGATAAATAAATAACGATTATATATATATATATATATATATATATATATGTATGTTATTGTTGCGCCCCGTGTTACGCCCCTGGATCTACATCTTTGTATCAGGAGATACTTTTCGCGGGATCAACTCTTTACGTCTCTGGGAGATCGTCAAGGGAGTTGTTGTTAAATAACTAGGGGTTTCTTCTGTTTTTGGGTGACAGATTTGGTCTAGCTGTCGCACCGTGCGGACGTATTCGAGACCAGAGCTTCTTTGCATTAATGCACTATTTATTGTATTTCATTGGTTTCGTGTATTGTGGGTCTTCATATTAAAATTCATTTTCTTATTACGCGAGTATCTTTATTTCGAACGCGAGTGAGAGTGTGTGTGACACCTTTCCTGAGACAGCGCAAAAGACGCTCCACGTTGGATACAACATTTTGGGGGCTCGTCCGGGATCAACTGAAAGGATCATATCTTCCTGAATGAACGCCAAAAATGACGACTCAACATTCGCCGAAAGCGACGCGTTCCCGAACAACGATGAAAGAGACGAACGAGACGGATGCGTTGCAGACCGCATTGCGAGAGCTACGAGAAATGCGGGCCGAACGAGAACATCAGTAAGCTCGCTTTGAGGCTCTACTCCGAGAGAAGGACGAACAGCTGCACCAGCTCGAATTGAGGATCTCCTCGCAGCAAACTAACCAGCTAAGTCCTTCTAATATAAGAGCTTTCGGGGATACGCGACTAAATTTAGCTTGCGCGAGTACCGCAAGTGCCGCGAATGCCGCGAGTGCCGTGACAAACGCGGGCGAGACGACCGGTGACTTTCGTGCGAAAACGGGCTTAAAACTGAAGCCTGATACGTTCGATGCAAAGGTTCCGCTGCGGGAGTTCCTCTCTCAATTTCTTTTAATAGCCGTTGCGAATAATTGGGATGAGAGAGCAAAAACGATTACTTTCGCTGCAAATTTAAGGGGAAAAGCTCGGTTCGTTTTAGAAAATGTTGAGAATTTTGAAGAATTAACGTTCGCAGAATTAAAATCAAAATTATAAAGTTGCTTTTTGGAGACGGAAACATGACGCAAAGCTATTACTCTCTTTTTACGACACGGAAACAAAAATATGGAGAGGATTTCGCTTCCTTTGAGACTGAACTTGAGAAACTGTCGCGTTTGGCTTACCCCGAATGTCCATATGCAGTCCGTGATAAAATAGCATGCGCGCAATTTGTCTCGGCATTGGTAGACGGGTTTGTCAAAAGAACCCTTCAACTGGAAGGAATTACGTCTTTAAATTTGGCTATAAAAAGAGCTACGGCTATAAAAATAATTCAGGGGGACAGTTTTGAAAGAAAAAGAGACAATTTTGATAATAAAGGAAATTACGGGAAAATTATCAAAGGAGAGAGAGAAACGACGCGCGAACCGATTCCGGAAAAAAGAAAAGCGAACGGTTTAACTCGAAAGGGAAAGCGCAAACGAACAACTTGTCGACCAAAGAGAAAGAATGTTGGTCTTGCGGGAAAACCGGGCATTTGCGTTTTCAATGTCCTGAGGCAAAGGAAAACTAAAAGTAGTTGAATTTTTCGGGGAAAATTCAACTCTTACAGAAAACGCCCCGACGTTCGATTTAGTTGATCTTATTAATTGTAGTGTTAGAAGGATTTTTAAGAAAGGTTCTTATTCGTATTTCAGTAGATTGAATAAAAAGGGGTGTCTTTTTAAAATAGATACGGGCTCTGATATTTCCATAATAAATAGTAGATTAGTGGGAGAAAATCTTGAAAAGATTCGAGTCAATGATGTTAACTTGAAATATCCGACGGAAGATAAATTTTTAATTAAATTCTTAGTGAAAGCAAAAATTAAAATCGGAAATTATTCGATTGAAATTCCTTTATTAGTTGCTAAAATTAATGATCAATGTATTTTGAGAATGAATTTCCTTAAAATGATTAATGTGGAAAACGTTTTCGATAAAGTTTTTAATGAATCCACTTTTGACAATAAAGATTTTTAATGTTCAAGGATAGAGAATTTTTCAAAAGGAATCCCGTCTATTTTAAAAGAATTTTTCGAAAAGAGCTCAATTTATTTGCAGGAAAAACAGAAAGAAACCTTTATAAATTTTCTAAATAAATTTCAAGATCTATTCTCCTGTAACATTGTTGCTGGGAATTGCGATGTTATTGAACATGTCATAAATGTAAAAGACTCTCTCCCCATAAGACAGGTACCCCGTAGGATTCCTTTTCAGATGAGGTTGATAAAATATATATAATGGAAGAGATGAAAATAGAAGGAATCATAGAGAAATCTCAAAGTCCTTGGGTTTCGCCGGCTGTTATGGTTAAAAAGAAACCTTGAGATTCTGTGTTGATTACCGGAAACTTAACGCCATCACGGTAAAAGATTCCTATCCCTTCCCTCGAATTGACGACATCTTGGATCAGTTATCAGGTAACACTTGGTTTTTTACGCTTGATTTAAAAAGTGGTTATTGGCAGATAAAGATCCGTCCTTCAGACAAAGAAAAGACAGCTTTTTCTATCGGTAAGGGACTTTGGCAATTTACAATTATGCCCTTCAGTTTGTGTAACACTCCCGCGAGACGTTTCAGAGACTTATGGAAAAGATTTTAAACGGATTGATTTCGAAAAGTTTAGTTTATTTAGATAATATCATTATTTTTGGAAAAGATTTTGTTGAAATGTTTTAAAACCTTGAAGAAGTATTCTTGCGATTACGGAAAGCAAATATTAAAATTAATCCAAAGAAATGTTTACTTTTCCAAAGA